CAGGGGAGTTTTAGGGCGATGCAACTGTTCTATGTGATCCATGACATTATGCACTTGTCAAGACCCAACTGCATAACAGGAAGAGTGAAGCCTCAAGTAGAGGATGTGCTCTAGTTAATAATGATGTATCAAGTTGTAATGTATGAGCCACCAATGCAAGAAGTTATAATAACTAGGAGGAAATGGAGGCAGAGGGGGGCATATGAGGACTCCCTGTACTTTCTGCTCAATTTTTCTGTAAAACCCAAAACTGCTGTAAAATATGAAGTCTATTAATGTTTTTAAAAGTGCTTATTATATAAGGAAATGATTTTGATTCACTGTCTTCAGGATTGTTTAAAGTAGTGACTGGTTTGCAGTGATGGCACCATTCTTCTGGGATGCCTTTTTGACCTTGAGCAGCAGTTCCTTCCCTACTGAGCAGGGAGACCCAGTGAGTGGGGGACAGGCCTGGATGCTCACATGACCTCATGTCCTGGTCTGCGAAATGGGATGGCATCTTGCATCATGGTGGTCCTGTCTAATGGAAGAATGGTAAAGTGTGCTTGGCACAGTGTGTACCTTCAGTAAGTGAGGTTGTCAAAAGCAACAATTGGGTTGGCACTGACATGCATTGTAGATGTACAGAAGTAATTTGTAGATGGAGAATTGATGAGGAGGGGCCCATGGAGACATGGGTTTGTGCCATATACTTTATTCTTCTAATTTTCTGGTGCTCTTTGGGACTGTCCCTGTGGCTTCCATATGGCTTCAAACAGGTGAGGAGCTGCTGCCTGTTCAGACCAGAAATCTGAGCTCATCAGCACACGAACCTGGGCACTTCTGTGGTATCATGTTTTGGGAAGATTTCTCTTTGAAATTTTAAACTCTCTTCCATTTGTATTTGTTGAAATTCTAGAGCTTTTGATAACTCATGCTAAAATTTTTAAATCTCTTTTTGCTTTATTGTCTTTTTATTTGAAATATCAAAATTTATGTCGGAAGCATCATTTTGCCATCCTGCCCAAGTATTCAAACTAAACTATCCAAGATCCTCCAAGAAATACATGACTAAAGATAATGTTTCTCCCTTTCTGATTAAAAAAAAAAAGAAAAAAGAAAACTATAGTAACTTTAACCTCTAAATAAATAAAACACATGTGGTCATGACCCACATGAGATAATCACTAACTATATACCTTGTGAGATGACATATTGCCCTGTTTGATTTTTAAAACCTATACTGAAGTACATGCGTTACTATAGGAAATTAAACATTGTACAAGTGGACTGAAAGTGGGAACTAGACAGACAAGTCAGGACTGTATTCCAGAGGGCTCAGAGGGAGTGTTAGAGTTCTGTCTGCTGCTCCAGCCCCCTGTAGATTTTGCTGTGATGAAAATGGGTGACACAGGTGAGGTTTCCTAAAGGTCATTGTTTTCCTCTTAGGTGGTGAAACTGACACCTAACACTCCTTGTTGTCTTAGGACTTCCTTTTGAATGAATTCAGGTAGAGAACCTGAATAAAGGGTGTATTTAGGGCTCATGTAGTCAGAAGAGGCACTGCAAGATGCATATCTCGTGGCTTTACTTTAGAAACACACAAAAGACTTCATCCCAGGAAGGTGGAACAGACATACGTTTTCTTGCTCTTCCCGTGAATAAAACAAAGAACCCTGGGTTTGATGTAGAGGAAGCACACAGAGGACAACTCTGAGAGGGTCAGGAGGAGGCAGAGCAGCCACGGCCTTAGGACCTAGGGAGCCCTGGCAGTGTGGTGAGTTCCCAGGGTTTCTTTTGGTCTCCTGCATCCTAGACATGGAGCTTGTCTACTGGGGTGCGTTTGTGCTCCTCTAACAAAACGCACAATTTATAAAAAACAAATTTATTTCCTCATGGTTCTTAAGGCTGGAAGTTCAAGATCAAGGATCCAGCATCACAGGTGGAAGGCAGGAGGGCCAGTGTGTCTAGTTCCTCTCCAGCCATAGGCCTGTGAAATCACACAAGTTCTGCGCTTCCACAGAGCAATGGTGGGAGAGACAGAGGACAGACATTTTCCTTCCAAAAGGAAAAATAGGCAAGAGGGAGTAACAGGCTTTAGGTAAGTCTGAAACTCAACAAGGCAAACAGCATTAAATCATCTTTGACTCCATGCCCAACCTTCTGGACACACTGGGGTGGGGTTGGGCACCCCATGCCTCAGGTAGCCCTGCCCCCATGGCTTGCTGGGCTCAGTTAACCTCAGCAGTTCTCTTAGGCTGGGGGCTCCACACTGGTAGCTCTGTAGGTCTGGAGTCTCAGGGGTGGCCCTGCCTCCACAGCTGCACTAGGCGTTGCCCTGGTGGAGACTCTCTGTGGCGGCTCTGTCCCTGCAACAAGTCTCTGCCTGGGCACCCGGGCTATCCGCAGCATACTTGGAAATCTAGGTGGAGGAGAAAGCTTTGCCCCCACAGCTCTTGTACCCTTTGTGCCTGCAGAATTAGCATCATGTGGCCTCTGCCAAGGATCACTGCTTGTGTCCTCTGGACACCTGAGCATAGCTGTGTGGCCAAGGAGTGCTGTGCCAGAATCTGGAGGATAGAGACCTGAGAGGGCTGTGGGCAGTGAGGTTGCAGGGGTGTCCTGGGCCTCTCTTCCTAAACTGTTCGGTGCTGTGATGAGCATGGCAGCCCCAAAGATCTCGGAAATGCTCTTGGGGCCATTATTCCATAATCCTCATGAATAACTCCAGGCTTCCTTCTATCCATACTAATCTCCTTATGAAACTAGGTTACACTGTTGGTTTTCTTCCCTAAATACTCTGTTGTTCTTTACATGGTCAAGCTGAGAATTTTTCAAATCTTTACATTCTGCTTCCCTTTTAATTATAAATTTTGCCCTTAAATAACTTTCTGTTCTCAAATTTTACCAGAAGCAATTAAGGAAAACTATCCTGAATACTTGGCTGCCTAGAGATTTTTTCTGCCAAATTATTTTAGTTCATCACTCTTAAGCTCTGCCTTCAACAAAGTCCTGGGACATGGGCAGAATTCAGTCAAGTTTTTTGCCACTTTGTAACAAAGAAAATGAAAATACAACATATCAAAATTTATGGAACACAGCTAAAGCAGTACTGAGAGGGGAATTTTGGGCACCAAAATGCATGCATTTGAAAATAGGAAAAGTCTCAAATCAATCTCAGCTTCTACCTCAAGATCCTCATTTCTACCTCTCTGGAAAATGAAGAGCAAAATAAACCCCAAGAAAAAACAGAAGGAAGGAAATAACTGAAATCATTGAAATAAAAAACAGGAAAGCTGGAGGGCGTGGTGGCTCACGCCTGTGATCCCAGGACTTTTGGAGGCCAAGGTGGTGGCTCACGCCTGTGATCCCAGGACTTTTGGAGGCCAAGGTGGGTGGATCACCTGCGGTCAGGAGTTTGAGACCAGCCTGACCAATATGGTGAAACCCCGTCTCTACTAAAAATACAAAACTTAGCCAGGCGTGGTGGCATGTGCCTGTAGTCTCAGCTACTTTGAGGGTGAGACAGAAGAATTGCTTCAACCTGGGAGGAGGAGGTTGCAGTGAGCCGAGATTGTGCCACTGTACTTCAGCCTGAGTGACACAGAGAGACTCCCTCGGGGGGTGGGGGGGAAGTTAACCTAGCTTTTTAAAAACATTACTAAAACTGACAAATCTCTAGCAAGACTGAAAAAGAAAAAAAAAAAGATGCAATCAGCAATATCAGAAATGAAAGCAGAGATAGCACTATAGACTCTGCAGACATCAGAAGGATACGGGGAAAAGCTACAAACAACTGTTATACTCATTAATTTGATAACTTAGACAAATTGGGCTACTTTCTTAAAAAGCACAAACTACCACAACTCACCCAACAGGAAGCAGATCATTGAATAGCCCAGTAGCTATTAAATACATTGTATCCATAATTTCAAAAAAGAAATCTTCAGGCCCAGATGGTTTTTCTAAAGAATTCTACCAAACAGTTAAAGAATTGACACCAATTCTACACAATCTTTTCCAAAAAATACAGGAGGAGGCAATACTTCTCAGTCATCTCATGAAGCCAGAATTACATTGATACCAAAATCAGACAAAACAAGAAAGAAAGCTACTGACCAATATCCCTCCTGAATATAACACAAAAGCCCATAACAAAATATTGATAAATATATTTAAGCAATATATAAAAAGAATTATCCACCATGACCAAGTTTGGATTTATACCAAGGATGCAAAGCTGATCAATATTTGAAAACTGATCCATGTAATCTACCATATTAACAGACTAATGGGAAAAAATTGTGGGTAACCCCCCATATAGGCACCAAGGAATGAGAGCTAAGCAGAACCCTGGCACAGTTAGGGCTTGAGGAATATCTCACTTTGTAGTGTTACTACTCAGCTATTTCCTTTTATATAATCCTTTACATAATCCTATATTAGTTTATAGAAATAGGGCTTGTAGGCTCCTTTTACATAATCCTCTCTATATAATCATATAATAGTTGATAGTATGAGTGCCTAAAGAATATTTCCCTACATATATACTTATAATTATATCTTAGTTTATAATCGGAGGAATGCCTAGAGTGGACACAGTACAGAGCATTAATTAAGGGATAAGCAGCTTATAATCAGAGGAATGCCTGGAGCAGACACAGTGCAGAGCATGATTTAAGGGAAAAGCAGTTACACCAGGACAAGAATCCATGGCCCAGGCGGCAGCGTTCAGTATCGTAAAGATACCCGCTGTATGGCAGGCTTGGGGCGAGAGCCACTCCTCCTGATAAAGGAGTTGTAGGACCTTGCTCCGGTTCTTGTGGAAGGCTGCCCTCAGACCGGCAATCCACCTTGGTGACTGTGAACTTTATCAGCTCTTGCTTCTGTGCTGCTTGAAAAGCATCTTCCCATAGAACCCACTGGAAGCTGCCAGAAGGTGGCGGTCACCTTGACAGCTCTGTCACTGCTGTGTGACTTAAAGCATCCTCCTATAAATCTTCTACTTAGAAGTAGTTTCCCATAGATAGAAGTATTGCACACTGCACGCTCCTCACTGCGCACGGCCCACCTTCAAGTCTCAGTGACCTAATGGGGGTGGACCCCTTACTGCACAGGGCCCTTGCCTTCGTGAGAACAGGGCCCTTGCCTTCGTGGGAATGGGCCCCTTGCTGTGCATTGTCCACCTCCTGGCCTAGGTGACCTAATGGGGGTGAACCCTATGTTTTATTGCTCACGACCCTATCACTATCCTTAGAGATGATTTCACTCACTGCCCTGCCCCCCTAACCTATACACAATAAATACTCATGCTTCTGGACGTTTGGGGCCTTGCCTGACTCCACTTACAGGTGGCGTGGCCCCCCGAGCCCAGCTGCATTTTCTTTGTACTTCTGTGTCCTGTCTCTTTATTTCTCATATCCTGCGCCTCAGCACAGCATAAGGCTCACCCCACGACCCTGTGGGGCACTCAGCCATACATCTGGCTCACAACGTGCCCTACAAAAATCATATCATCATAACAACCAGTGCAGAAAAGGTATTTCACAAATTTTAATACACATACATGATTAAAAAAAAAACTCTAGGACAGATAGTAGAGTTAATGACTACCTACAAAAAACACCCATAACTACCTACTTATTAATGACTACCTACAAAAAACACCCATAACTAACATGACACTAAATAGTGAAAACTGTATACTTGCTCCATAATATCAGGCAGAGGGTAATGCTGTCTGCCTTCATTGTTCTTATTCAACATTGCACTGGAAGTTCTATCTAGTGCAATAAATCAAGAAAAGGAAATAAAAGACATATAGATTGGAACAGGATAATTAAAACAGTCTCTAGTTACAGATGACATGATCATCTGATTATAAAATCCCCAAGGATTGTACAAAAAAAAAAAAAACCTCCTAAAGTTAACAAGTTCAAAAAGGTTGCAAGATACAACATAAACATAGAAAAGTCAATTGTCTTTCTTTACATAGCATAAATACCAGAATTATGGACCCCAAAATTAAAAATGCAATACCATTTAAAATTACCAAAAAAATACTTAAGTGTAAATTCACTCAAACATGTACAAGACTTTTGTGCTGAAAAGTGCATGATGCTGATGAGAGAAATCAAGGGAGATCTAAATGCCTGGAGAGGCATACCATATTCAGGGATTGGAAGACACAATATAGTAAAGATGTCAGTTTTTTTTCAAACAGATGAACAGAATTCTTATCAAAATCCCAAAAGGATTTTTTTTGTATATATAGTCAAGATTATCCTAAAACTTGTGTGGAAAGTCAGAGGAACTAGGATACCTAAATAAATCTTGAAATAGAGGAATAAGGTGAGAGGAATAATTCTACCCAAAACCAGGACTTATTATTGCCAGAGTAATCAGAGCAGTGTTATCCTAGACAGACTGACAGATAATAGAACAGAACAGAGAACTCAGACCCACACAAATATGCCCAACTGATTTTTGACAAAGATGCAAAATCAATTCAGTGGAAGAAAGATAGTCTTTTCAACAAATGGTACTGGAGCAATTGGATGTCCACAGGGAGACAAAAGAACCATGAGCTAAGTTTTACACCTTATATTAGAATTATGAGTTCTAACAATGAACTACAAATTTAAACATGAAATGTAAAACTATAAACATTTTAGGAAAATATGTAGTAGCCAACACTTAGGACCTAAAGCTGAACAAAGAGGTCTTGACTTGATGCCAAGAGCATGATCCATGCAAAGAAAATTGATAGATGAGACCTTATCAACATTGAAAATGTATGCTCTGTGAAAGAATCTGTGAAGTGGATGAAAAGGCAAGCTACAAACTGAAGAAAATATTTGCAAAACACATATCTGATCAAGGATTAAGAAATCGCAAAGCTCACCAGTACAAAAACAAACAATTGGGTTAGAAAATTGGCAACAGACATAGAGACATTCCGCCAAAGATGCCACAGTGATGGCAGAAGAGTGCATGGCAAGGCATCAGTCAATCGCAGCCCATGGTGAAGTGCAGGACCAGGGTACCACTGCACACCATCAGGAGAGCTAGGATGCTGGCGAGGATGTGGATAAACTGGGTTACTCATAAGGTGCTGATGGGAATATAAAATAGTATAGCCCCTTTGGAAAACAATTTAGCAGTTTCTTTTAAAACAAAATATGCAACTCTCATATGACCCAGTAACTGCACTCCTGGGAATTTATCCCAGAGAAATGAAAATTTACGTTCACATAAATACAGGCATATGAATGTTTACATTAGTTTATTTGTCATAGTCAAAAACTGGAAAGAACCCAATGTCTTTCAGTGGGTGAAAAGTTAAATTGTACGTCCACACCATGAACTACTGATACCTGTGACAACCTGGATGAAACCTCCAGGTAATTATGCTGAGTGAAAAAAAGCCAATTCCAAAAGGTTACTGTATTATTCCACTTACATAACATTCTTGAAATGGCAAAAGTATAGCCGTGGAGAATAGTTCAGTGGTTGCGGGGGTGTCGAGGAGCAGTGATCTGGGAGGAACGTGGGTGTGTCCAGGAGGAGTCTCAGGAGGGTCCTATGGGTGGCGACGGCCCAGATCTGGCTGCATGGATGTCAGTGGCTGCAGTCCTGTGCTATAGTTTGGCAAGATGTTACCCCCTGGAGGAAAAGGTACACAAGATTTCTGTCTGTCTACTGTTTCTCACACCTGCATGTGAACCTACGGTTATCTAAAACAAGAAAAATCAGTTCACACCTATTCATTGTCTGCCAACAAACCCAAATATATGCCCCGCATTGCAAGGTCTTTACCAATATGTAGAATCTATTTTTTTTTTTAACCAATATGTAGAATCTCATGTGAAGTGGGAAGAGGGAAAGGGGCTTTCCTTCTAGATAGCTATGACCTTGACTGACTTAAAATAAATATTTGCTGCAGATTTGCAGGTCCAGATCTAAAAGTTTAAATAGATGTCAAGATAGGTTAATTCAATTTCAGTGACCTTGGTGTTGAGCCTTTGAAACACTGCCTCTGAGTTAAGGCTTGAATAAATAACGTTTCTAAGGTTGAATTGGGAGTGTTTAAATATTCAGAGCCAGGCAGAGGAAGGTGGAAAGCAGCAGGCTACACTGTGCTTCAGGTTCCCTCTCGCTCTCTGCCTGCCTGGACTGGAGCCTCCTCTGGTTCAGGGTCAGAGACCCTGCAGCCCCGCCTCTGCCTCCAGCCAGGTGGATGTGGGTGGCCCAGGGATGCCTCAGATGGCATGTTTCTTTGCTGTGGATCCCAGTGTGATTGTGAACTTACTGCATCACAATTTCCTGCCAGCCATCTCCCTCTAATGGAGAGACGAGGAGGAATCTCTGTTTTGTTCAAATGTTTGGGTGTCCCACAGACCAGTTACTGCATCCTCTTGGCAAAATGAGGACCTCAAGAGTTTCGAATCTGAATAACTTTGCCTTCCTTCTTACTTTTTCAATAGTTTGTGGATTGTTTGGGGGCATATCTGGTGGAGAGAATCTGAAAGCTAAAAATAAGCGATAAAATGCAGGGTAAATGCATTAGTAAATTTCTAAACAGGGCAATGAACACCAGCTACCTAGAAATTGGCAAGTTCCCCAGCATGTGCTGTTTTGGACTGAAGTCATGTGGAGCAGGAACGTCAGCAGCAGATGCGTCAGCACCAAGGCGCCGCTGTGCTGGAGGTCCCCAAACCTAGCGTTTTATGGTCGCAGGGTGTCCATTGTTCTAGCTTCCTCCCCACCAAAATGTCACAGCCACCGGCCAGAGAGAACACGGGGTACCTGGTGTGATCAGCCACAGAGCAGGCCACACTAAATGCCATTTGTGGAATAGCCTGTTTATACTGGGAGCAATTCGTTCTCAGAAGGTCTAAATAGGATGGGCCCCGAGGGCTGCTGCTTCGGGGTGATCCTTGCCCTGTGGACTGGACTTGGGCCCCACTCCTCCTGTCGAGAGTGAGATGACCCCTGTTTATTTCAAGAGTTACATAAATACAGGACTTCCCTTGCTTGGAGCCCTGTTTGGGAATCAGTATTTACTTGGTGTGTTTTTGGTGAACTGGAAGATATGTTCCAGGTCTGCTTTCTGTGGGAATGTGGGGAGGCACTGGCCATCTGACAACTGTGTCAACCTTGGTGTCCTCTTCCTCCAGCCCCATGGACAGAGTGTGTGGGGTGGCCTGGCCCCCTTCTCACTGAAGGAGCTCCTAGGGGAGCATGGCCCAGGGCAGCAGCACAGCTGCAGGGAGGGGCTCCTTGGTGAGAGGTGGTCATTGGCGCTGAATTGACATGGTGTCCACTCCCCTAAAAACCAAGCTACCATGTATGCATGGAGCCACAGACCTGCCGAGGGTGGTGGGAGCTCTGTTCCACGTAATTTACCTCTTCAGAGGCAGGAACAAAGGTCAGGCAGAAAGGAGGGTGGGAAGGATCCCGTCTGCAGACTTCACCTGCGGCCGGCTGTTCCAGAGGCCTGGGAAGGAGGCCAGCTCAGTCCTATGTTGCGTCTCTCGCCTGGTTGGCCTGGGTTCCCAGCCTCCTGAGGCCAGGAGACCTCCCTACCCAGGGGACGCACAGACCTGGGGCTGAGCCTGACCCCAGGCAGCCCCTAGTCTCACAGGAGGGGCTGGGCCAGACAGCAAAGGAAAGGAGGACGAGGAGGCTGCCAGGCGCCGCCTTCGGGCACTCACTGCCTCACCTCTCCTCCCCACACGTTTCCAGGTCGCATGTGAGTGTCTAGGTTGGGATGAGGGTCTCTGTGTGGCCACGTTCCCTGCAAGAGCTGTCTGCTCTGAGAGCGCCGTGGTGCACTGGGCTTGGCTCTTGTGCTGCTGCCCTCGGAATGTCATTTTATGTGTTGATCTTGTGCCTGATGCTGTGAATCGAGGTGAGGCCATTGTGTAAAGTGGGCTCATCCCAAGACTTGCTATGCATTTGTCTTGTCACCCGAGGACAGAGGAGGTACCATGGAGCCTGGGGCCGACTCCGTCCCCCTAGAACTGCTGTTTCCAGGCCTTGCACAAAGCCACATCAGAGGAGAAAGCGTCACCAGCTCTGCCCACCATCACTGTCCTGGGCGCTCCCCCCGGAGCCTTCTCATCTGTCCACGACCCTCCTCCCTGGGGCTGGAAAGTGGCCGAGGCCACCACCCTTTCCTGAAACCACGAGGAGGCAGCACCCCGGCTCCCACCAGCTGCATCCCAACGTGCTGTTGGTGGTCTGCATCTCATTGCAATGTGGAGGACCTGCAGTTATGTTCACTCCCTCCTCATTTTACTTCACTGTCCCGTGGGCTCAGTGGAGTCCACAAGGGTGAAGGCAGAGGAAGGTTTGGTTGGAATGACTGCTTTGCGGGGAGTGAGCCCCTCTGTGGCATGGCCCTCTGTGGGCTCTTCAACCAGGCTCTTGCTGGCTCCCGAGGGGGAATGGGTGGACTCAGGGTGTTGTCAGCCCCAGTGGCTCTGACCTGCCCCACGGTGGAGGGCAGCTGCTCCAGGGCCCCTGAAGAGCTCTTTGCACTCTTTATGGAGCTTGCCACGTTGCTTTGCAAATAGCAGGTGCTCATAGTTGCCGTTTTGCTGTGAAAAGAGAAACGCAATCCTGAATATTTAGAGCTGTGTGTGTTACACCTTCCTGCTGTCATCTGTGGGGCTATCAGCATCTGGGGTGCCTGCAGGAGCTGCCTCAGGGGCCAGCGCTGGAGCCATGGGAACTCAAGCTGTTTAGGGCGAGTTGGTCACAATGGCTGTGGCTGCAGGGTCCCCGCTGTGGTGGAATCCAGCAGCCACAGTTTAATGTAGATGCTGTGCCATTGGTGACATGGATGCTTGCATGCATCGGACCTCAGGAGCGCTGCTGACTGATGGCAACATGGCCGGGACCTGGTCCCAGGTGTAGCCTCTCAGGGGACTCAGGGACCTGAGGGAAAGCTGTCTGAGGTGGCAGGAGAAGAGTGAGGGGCTTTGTGAGGTGGGGACCTTGTCCCATTGTTCAGTCCTGGGTCCCAGCATGAAGTGTCTGACGCAGAGGAGGCCTCACTTGTCCTAAACCTGCATCAAAGCAGGATGAGTGGAGCCCAAGCCTCCGTCCTGGGTCTCTTGGGCAGGACACAGAGGCTCCCAGCAGCCCCTCAGGAAGCTACCAGCGAACGGAAACACGGGAACCGCAACCAATGGGTCTGATTGGGTGTGGCTATTTCCATGGCCCGCTTTTGCGTTCAGGTTCTGATTCTCTGAACATTGTGACATTGGCTGATATTAATTTAAGGCTCCCCACATGCCAGGTTACTGTTCAGATCATTTATATGCATTTGATCCTCAACCCACAAGGTGGGGAATTTGCAACCCTGCTTTGCAGATGAGGCAACTGAGGTGGAGAGATATTAACTCCCTCAAGGTCGCCGCCTCGTAACTGGGATTGGAACCCAGGCAGGCGGCTCTGGGACCCAGACTCTGAACCCTTTCACCATAAGGCAGACTGCACTGGAGGCTGTTTCCATTCCCAGAAAGAGCCCCTGCACCCAGCATTTTGCGAGCTTTGAATGTGAAAACTAGGATCGAGGGCTTGTCTGCCGTCAGAGAGTGGCCACATACACACATCCTGAATGTGGGCACCTTTAAAATATAAATATCCAGGAAATCCCCCGAAACTTTGGAGAGTAAGCATCAGCTCAGGTTGCCAGCATTTAGATGTTGCATTTAGCCCCGTAGGACAGATGCCACATTCAAGGGCCAGCAGCATTCTTCCCTCTCACTTTTCATTTGGTTTCTTTTCAGTATTTAAAATGTAGGAATCAAGTCTGGATGTCAGAGTATTCTTGATTTAGTTTTCTTTTTTCCCAGGAGGCATGATTAACAAAGAGCCACAATGGCAAACTGTGTGGAGGCAGTGGTGTGGGCTTGCCTGGAGAGCCGTGCTGGTGGGGCTCACCTGGGGTGGCATCTCTGGTCTGCAGAGGCCAGTCTGTGCTGCAAAGCCTGGCGCAGGCACAGGGATGGCAGGAGCGTCCTGGAGTCAAGGGATTAGCTGTGTTTCATTGTAGTAGCTTCTTTTTTCCAGAGATCCAAGTTTAAAAAAGAAAATTCATCTCTTAAAAAATATTGTATGTAAAACCTGCATTTATTCTATACGCAGATCATATTGTTAGAGCCAAAACATCCAGAAACACGGCCTGAAAAAGGCACATGAAAATACCGTTCCCAGAATTAAGTAGTAATGACATTCTGAAGCCTCACTGTTTAAAAAGATCCACTGCTAGTATAACAGGACCCCTGGTATATTTAGAAAATTCATTGTTAAAATCGGGTAAAGTAATATTTGCAAGCATCTGGCCCACGGATGACAGGAGCCGGCATCTGCAGAGGACACTCCCTGCCAGCAGCTGCGGCCCTCGTGCTGCTGGAGTGGTGGCCAGATGCAGACACTTTCTGGTGAGCTGGAGTCTGCAGAGGACACCCAGGACAGTGCACAGCTCCCTGCCAGCAGCTGCGGCTCTCATGCTGCCGGGGCAGTGGCTGGATGTGGACCTGTGAGGTGAGCTGGAATCTGCAGAGGACATTAAGGACGGTGCACAGTTCCCTGCCAGCGACTACAGCCCTCACACAGCTGGGGCAGTGGCCTGATGCAGACCTGTGTGGTGCAGTGTCTCCTGCTGCTGCGGCGAGGGTGGCCACATAGGTGGCGCCCTGCCAGGTGCGTCCAGCCCCAGCCTTGAGGTTGCCCACATTGAGCCCAGGTCTCCTGGGAATCCAGGCCTGCTGTATCTAAAATCTCACCCTCCTTAAACTCCCCTGACCAGGACCCACCATGAGGTTTTCCTGTCAAACTTTACATGCATTTCATAGGACATCTCCAGATTTCATCAGCTCCTATTAGACCAGGCCTTTGTCCTTACAGCCAGGCAGGCATGCGATACCCAGATCTGATCACCTTCTGCCCGTTGGCGCATGTTTTAGAAGCATGTGTGTGTTTTTTGCCCACCTCATGGCTGCTGAAGAACAGTAGCTACTGCATGTCTTCTGTGATGCTTTGTGATTTTGTGTGCCAAGCCTTATTTACAGGCCGTCCCTGAAAGCGAAGGATAATGGTACATTAGCTATTAACGTGACCCTGGAGAGCTCTAATTGAACTGCGCAAATAGAAGAATCCTCCCTCACCAGCTCCTGCTGCTCAGCTCAGCAGGGGGGCTGCTCTTACAAATGTCATCCAGCACAGGCGGCCCATGCTGGGCATTTTCTGGGGCCCCTGGTTTCCTTTCAGAGGATGCAGTATTTTCAGAAAGGGAGTTCGCATTTGTGCTCATCAGTCAGCAGCAGTCAGCTGTGACATCTCCAAACTGTAGAGGCTTTGGACTTTTTGGCCCGCATTCTACATAGAACGATGGAGATTTAGGATCTTACCGCCCTCGTTTAATCTTGTTACGCGGATGAGGGGCCGAGGCCACGGGAGCTGGGCTTCCGCCCTGGGTTCCAGGCAGCGCTTCCTCGCCAGGCTGGCGTGGCCAGTCATTCTGATTCAAGGTCTTATTCCAGTCAGGTTTTGTTTTATTGATTTTTTGTCCATGAAGTCGAATATGGCTTATGTATTGTGTACCTTTCTCTCTGTGTGTTTTTATTCCAATATCTCTTTATCATGGTTTTTATAACTTACCTTGCCCCCGACCTGACCCTAGTACTCTCTTTTCCCACCACGTGTATCCTAATGTGGGAACTGTGCTTTGGCGGCTGACTTTTGTGAAGTTAATTAATATACACTTCATTTAGAGTAGTGGTTGAGCAACTCAAAGAAAGTGAATTTAGTTTTATTACTTAGTTTTTATTTTATACTTAAAGAGCTCTATTTGACTTATTCAGATTTTTGCCATCAATTTTGTGTATACACAAAGGGAAACTAAACAAAATAACTTAGTTAGATTTTCCTAAAATTTTTTTACATTCAGCATCCAACTCCTCTAACCCCCTTTAACTGGGACGTCCCCAGCCATCACCCTCAGTCCTCCTCAGATGCCAGTTTGTTGATGCATTTCTCTTTTCTTGATGCCTCATGTGCCAACAAATAAAGACCTTCAGCTCTTCCTGCGCTCTCAAGACCAGACCCACCCACATTCTCAGAGAAGCAGAACCTTAGAAGTTGCACGGACGTGCATGGTGCATCTGTGTGCGCCGTGTCATGGGCTGGCACTTCTGACCTCAGTAGTGCAGGCACAGGCAGAGACCCAGGCGGGATTTCCGTGTGGCAGTCTGCAGGCAGGTGTCCAATTGTCCAGGTGACCCCATCCTGTTCTCTTAGGGCCTTGCAGGGATTGAATGAGGCCCAGCCCACTCTGGGGGGTGGGGGGGCACATGCTCCACTCAGAGCCAGCTGACTGCAGGTTTGAACCAGCCACATCCACACGACACCGTACAGCCCCCTACGAGGGTTGGACTGGGTGGCTGGAGTTGGGGCTGGGGCCTCAGCAGGCTGACCCCTGACCCACCCGAGGCTGGGCCTCATCCCGGCTCACCTCCCTCATTTCCCTGAAATGCATCATTCTTTCTTGGCCACCTGCCCCGCATGTGCCCAGGCTGACTGCACGTATCATTGCTGTCTTCTAGGGTTTGTTACTTCCCATGCCTTCATTACCCCTGGGGCCTCTCCTCCCACGACTCCTCAGGCCTGGGACACCCCCAGCCCTGCTCATGTGTGGGATACGCATGCCAGCCACCGCCTGGTGGGATTCCAAGTTCTGCCCTGGGGCTCAGGGTACCTGGAGGCTCAAGATGACTTCTTCAAAACCCTCGTGCGCAGGGTCTGGATGGATGGCGGGAGAGCCGTGAATGCAGCAGCTGCCGTGGAAGCAAAGCCTGGGCGTCAGGGTGGGCTGCATCTGCACCTGGTGAGCACCAGGGGTCCCTCAGGAAAAGCAGAGGCCTCCTGCACCCCTGTGCATTCCCTGGAAACTTCCTGTAGGCACAGAATAAGCGTCACATCCCAAACACCTAATGTTGGTATTGTGCATAAATGTTAACCTAGAGGTTTTTATTTGAAAAGTTCGCGTTTAATTTTTAAGTCCTGTTTTTACCAGTTCTGCATGTTCAAGACATACCGTAGGCCTTTTCCCTGTAGCTTCTCTTTAGAAAGAATGTAATGAATTGTGCTGGAATCGCGCTCGTAAGTTCTCCCTCACCCCGCATCCTCTGGGGCTCTCCACTCCGGCCCAGGCAGTTGGCGTGTCAGTTATATTTATATTACGCATCCTGCCATCTGGGGCTCTCATCGAGAATTTCTCGGACATGGTGTGACATCAGTGGGTCCTTTGTTTCGGAGCAAGCGTGTTCTCCTCACTCTCTGGCACGGCCTCGGCGTTAGGGGTTTCCTCTTTCTGGGAAGCTGTTCCTTCTCGAGAACACCGCGTGCTTTGTTCCTGCAGGGCGAGAGGTGGGTCATCCTGGGGGGAAACTGCTGGCCGCTCGCAGAACAATGGGACAGGAGGAGGCTGTCCACGGCTATCTAGGTCTGAGCTGCTCAAAGGTATTCTGTTTTCCATGGCTTTTGCTTCTTGGTTAGATCTTCTATTGGTGGGACTATCTCATCCCCTTTGCATCAACAGAGGGAGAGTATCTGTTGGCGAGGGGGATGTCAAAACCCAAAAGTGGATAATTGGTAACAACCCACTGTGGCACATACCCGTAACAACAGGCTGCACAGGGGCCAGGCGTGGACGACCAGGCTGCACAGGGGCCGGCCGTGGACAGGCATCATGTCCACAGCAGCAACTCACAGGTGCTGGAAACCGAATTTAGAATCTTAGGAGTACACACAGACTCATGAGGCTTTCTCAGTAGTCACGCGTGTCTCCGTCGTGGGAGGTGCACAATGGACACGCCTCAACCTGTTCCATCTATGAGGGCAGCAGCCCCTCCTGCAGGTGTAGAGAAGGCCATCTGTCCTCATGCTGAGCTGCAGCAGGGGCGTCTGTGTCTCGAGGTCCCTCAGTAACCTCGAGGCAGAGGCCGTCTGTCCCTGATGCCTGCTCTTGGGGGGACTGTGTCTTAGTCTGTTTTCTGCTGCCATAACAGAGTATCATGGATTTTTAATTTACAAACAATGAAAGTTTATGTGGCTCATGGTCCTGGAGGTGTGGAAGCCCAAATTTGAGGGGCCATCTCCCAGGCAACGGCATTACCTGGCAAGAGAGCGGAGAGACCCAGAGGGGGCTGAGCTCATTCTCGTAACTAAAACAGCTCTCATCCAGTCATGACAGCAGGGTCCTTAGACCCAGTCACCTTTTCTTAGGCCCCAGCTCCAAGCACAGTGGCATTGGGGTGAGGCTTCCCACACGTGACCTTTGGGGGACACATTAAACCCAGCAGGCTGCCTTGTCCCCTGCTCATTTTGGTTGTTTCGTTGAAACATGGGTGTGATGGATGCTTGAGTTTCTCTCTGAGGGGGTGGGATAGGCTGTCATTCCAGGGAAGGGGGGCTTTGGGGTTTCACTGTCCAGACTGTGTCCGTTCCTATTGTAGTTGACAAATCGCTGCAGACAGTGGCTAATCACGTGCATTCATGGTCTGTAGTTCTGGGGACCAAACATTCTAACCTCAAATTGTGGGCAGGGCCAGTCCCTTCAGGAGGTTACAGGGAGGATCCTTTCCTTGCCCTCTCCAGCTCCAGGGGCTGCACACACGGACACTCACATGCATGCATGCACGCACACACACGCACACACAGACATGCTCACACACATGCATGCACACACATGCACACACGTACACACAGACATGCTCACACGTGCACACAGGCACATGCACACACATGCACACACAAACATGCTCACACATATGCACGCGGACATGCTCACACACAAATGTGCACACAGACATGCTCACACTCATACACTGAGGCACATGCACACACAGACATGCTCACACACACGTGCACACAGACATGCTTACACACATGTGCACACAGACATGCTTACACATGTACACGTGCACACGAACATGCCCACACACATGCACATGGACATGCTCACACGTACACACATGCACATATGTACATGCTCACACACGTACACTCAGGCACATGCGCACATGGACATCACACAGACATGTGCATATGGACATGATCACACACATATGCACATGGACATGCTCACACACATATACTCAGGCACATGCACACACATACATGTGCACACCAGACATTTTCACACATGTACACACACACTTAGGCACATGCACACACATACATGCACACAAGGACATGCTCACATGTGCACATGGACATGTTCACACATGGACACTCAGGCACATGCACACACATACATGCGCACACGGACATGCTCATGCACATACACATGTGCACACGGACATGCACATGCACATACACGCATGTGCACACGGACATGCTCACACATATACAACCAGGCACATGCACACACGTGCACACAGATGTGCTCACACATGTACACACGTGCACACAGACATGCTCATACACGGACACACACTCAGGCACATGCAGACACACACATGCACACACCAGACATGTTCACACATGTATACACACACTCAGGCACATGCATACACATGCATGCACACACAGACATGCTCACACACATACACTCACTCAGGCATATGCACACACATACACATGTGCACACAGACATGCATGTACACATACACACGTGCACATGGACATGCTCACGTACACACTCAGGCACATGCACACATGTGCACACAGACATGCTCACACATACACACGTACACATACATACACACATTCAGGTACATGCACCCACAAACACACATGTGCACATGGGCATGCGCACATACAAGCCATGCACATACACACATGTGGACTTACCATCTAGTGGGGCAGTGCTGTCTCCCCGGAGGCCTGCATGTGCAGATGGGTTGGGGTCCCCCGTGTGGTGCGGGCCAGGCCTGCTATGCTGTGAGGCGCTGGCCATGGGGGTGGGCTTCACTTCTAGCTGACCCAGTTGGTGGCCACATCCCTGGTGCCCAGGCCTGGTCCCTGGCCAGTGCAGCCTTCACACGCGACAGCATGTACAGACTCTTCTTGCCCAGACTGTGGCAACAGGCAGGCCCTCTCCTTCAGCTCGGGACTGCTGGGCAAAGCACAGGTATAACTCTGAGCCAACCCCCCGAAAGCCCCGGCTCTTGAGCCGTTCCCCCAGGACCTCACCCCAGGCTCTGGGAGGGAAGGTCCCAGTTCCTGTCCAGAGAGGGTGTGAGGAAGGAGACCCTGTGTGCACAGGCTCCGCCTCTCTCTCCAGGGCACAGGTGGGAGGGGCCTCAGGCAGCCAATGCCCTCAACACACAGCAGTTTGCTGAATCCAGAATCTGGGCATCTTTGCCTTAATTTTTGGCTCTTCTAAGAAGAATCTAGTTGGTACCCACTTCTCACCAAGTACCTGGCCCATCCTGGGGCAGGGTGTGCTTCCCTTTCTGAACAGGTAAAAGATGTTTGAAGGTGTAGGGCCTGCGGGTGGGAGCCTGTCTGGGCCTGGAGCTCTGGGAGGTGGACGAAAGTGTTCTGGAATATTCCAGGCTGGTGCCATATCTGCCACAGCAGCCTTGTCTGGCTCCTGGCTCAGCTCTTCCATTCTGAAAGGGCCCATGGCTCCCCCCTGCCTCTACCGTTCTCAGTAGGGAATGCTGCTGTCTCTTCACATCCTGCCAACCTGGGGCCCAGGCACGTCTCATGGAATCTAACGCTGTTTTTGAAGGAATTCTTCCTCCATGGAGCAGATTCCTTCTCCTCCTCCGGCAGGGTCTGAGCGTGCTCCTCCTGGCCAGGGTTCCAAGAGAATGGCATCAGAGGGGGACGAGGGTCCCTGAGCACGTCCTCAGCTCCTCAGACCTCCCTCTTCACTCAGGACTGCACAGCGAGGCATGGCTGGGAGGGAACCGCATGTGTGGGCACCAGGGTGGGCACCAGGCAGAACCTCAGGTCGTCAGTAAAGCCCTCAGTGGGCCCCCAGGGCCACTCACCTCCCTGCACCGGTGCCTCCAGCCAGTCCCGTGTGTGCCTGCTCTGTAGCCTGTTGTGGTCCCTTTCCTGCTGTTGTGGGTAAAATTGTGTTCCCTGAAAAGATGTGTTGAGTCCTGACCCCAGCACTCGTGGGTGTGGCCTCAGGTGGAGATGGGCTGCTGCAGATGCATGAGCTCAAATGGAGTCGCCCTGGATCCAACCGCTGGTGTCCATAGAAGATGGGGAGAGACATGGGCAGACAGGTGTGTGGCTGGGTGGCGCCACAGCCAAGGGTGCTGGCCCCCCAGAAGTGGGCAGAGGCAGGGTGGCTCCTCCACTGGTGTGCACAGCCACACCAACCACCCGCTGCTCCAGGCCCTGGTGACTCCACTCCTAGGATGCAGGTGGTTCACAGAGGCTTGGCCTGCAGCCCCCACCGGAGGGGTTGTGCCTGGGGGTCTGATGCATTCAATGTAACTGAGGGAGGCTGGGTTCACCAGGCTGCCTGGGTGAAGACGGTGTCCACTTGCGGTGCATCTCAGCACAGGGTTGGTGGGGAGGGTCCCAGCTGGGGCAATCAGCCTGGGTCAGCGCAGAGCCCACCTCGGATGGCCTCTGCCCATGGTGGTGACTCTTGAAATTCTGTTGAGGCGGCCCTGGGGCCCCGGGCTCTACAGTTGCCCACGTTGATGTCAAGCTTTGAGCTGTGGTTCTTGCCTCCGGAGCAGCTCTCCCCACCATCCGGGCAATTGGTCTCTAGCTAAAGTGAGTTTTCCTTTTATTTTTTAACTAAACAAGCCCATGTTAGCAATACCCGGGCTGCCCCCAGGATGGCGTGAGCCCATCACAATGCTCCCCGTGACAGGGACCCCCCCACCAAGGACTCAGGGGCAGAATCCCACAGCATCCCGTGTCTGCCCCATGTGATGCATGCTATGACATCACTGCACACATAAAAATCATGGACATACTTCAGAAACTTTAAAATAGCCATGCCTTGGCCTGTAACTATTTGTAGGAAATTAACCTAGAGAAACAATCAGATGTGAGATGACGATTTGCCTGTGCGTTTTTTGCCACAGTATTTGTGACAGTCAAGAATCACTAGAAACCCTGATTAAATTTTGAAACACACATCCCAGGAAATATTTACCCAGCTATTTAAAATCATGTAGAAGGGTAGCATCATGAAGAAACGTTTGGGTGAAAAATTTGTTACACGCAATATACATTGCTCTTATAATTCTGTATAAAAGGGCATCAGACGGATAAAGAAAAGACCTCTGGGTGATGCTGTTAAAGTATATTGTATTTTTTCTATATTTTCCAAAGTGAACACAATGATTTTGTACTCAGAAAAAATACATATTACTTGTTTTATGCATCAAAAGGTAATGGTCACTTGTGTGTCAGAACTTTAGATGATGGCGTAAATATTTCCCGGGCCAGCAGTCTTGCCAGATTTTATCCCCAAAAGAACATCTCCGAAGTGTCCTTAATCACTGATTCTGCGTTTATGGTTTATGTTAATGTGAATTCCAGACTTTCTTGCTGGGTAAAGCCATAAAAAAGACAGAAGTCCAACAGCTCCTCCTGTTCCTTCCTCTCCTGTCCCTCCCCGCCCTGTCCCCACTTCAGAAGTCAGTTGTTCAGTCGTCCATGTGGGGACCGGGCCCTGCTGGCTGCTGGGACACAGGGACCTGCTCACACGTCATACTGGCCCCCGAGAGGGAGGTGCTAGCAGCTGCAGCTGCCCTCCCGTCACCGCACGGAAGCCATCACCTACACAGGTGCCATGTCACCTCCGCTGCGGCGTGAGCCCTGGGCGGGCAGGAGCCACTGGCCTTGCTCAGCGCTGCGCCCCGGAGCGGGCCCCGGTTGCCCGGAATCGAGGGTTCGTTTCCAGATTTCCCTCAGCGGGTCTGGGGCCACGGCTCCAGAGCAGCCCTGACATGCTGATGTTACACCCGGGGCTCTCCCAGCTCACCATGAGCTTCTGGACTTCCTCACACAGCCCCGTTCCAGTCTCCACCCTTCCTTATTCCCCTCCCAAGACACGGAGTGAGGCTGTGCAAAAAACACCTGTGCCTGCCCTCATGTGGCCAGGGCCACTGCCCCTCCGCAGCCCGACTCCCCTAGCCTTGGGTGTTGGCTCTGGGAGCTGTGCCCTGCCTGCTGCAGCTCCCATTTCTTAACTCTGTTTGTGGCTGATGATCCGGAATGGTCGCTATGAGGATATTCGGTATCCAGGTGTTGCGTTACCTTCCGCCTCCCTCCTGGGGCGCCTCTGGTTCCTGGGAGAGAGGCCGAGGCAGGATGGAAAGAAGCTGTCCCTTGGGAGACACGGCTTGGGAACTCACCTAGGTGTGCTGGGTCTGCCTGTCGGGATTCTCCTCCCAACGCCGCAGCGTCCCGGACGCTGGCACCACAGGTCTGCGCCTTGGTGCCTCTGTGTGGCCTGAAGCAAGTTGCTGAACCTCTCTGTGCTTATTCTATAAAATACCAAAAACGGTGCCATCTCCCAGCTCTCCGTGAAGATCACTAGTTCACAGCATGGCGGGTGCTGTGGCGGGTGCCCAGGGCTCTCGCGCCAGGCACGGTGGTCACAGTTGTTCTTCAGACAAGTATTAAATGATTTTTATGGAAAGATGGTATCATTTGTGCTATAATTTAAGACAGAATAAAGACTTCATAGAGCTAGAGAGAGAGAGTTTAACGAATCAACTCCTGAAACTGTGGGTGCTGGCAGTCCGAAATCTGCAGGCGGTGGGGCAGCCGGGGCTGGGGAGAGCCGGGCTGTATCGGGCCCGTCTGGGGCACAGCACCTCCTCCTCAGGGAGCCTCCTCTTTCTCTCAAGGCCCTTGATGGATTGGATAAGCCCCGCCCACGTTATGTCACGCGCTGCACTCAAAGTCTACTGATGTAAGTGCCAATCCCATCTAAACACACCTTCATAGAGACAGCTAACCTAGCATTTGACCCAAAATCTGGGCATGGCGGCCCAGCCATGTTGACAAATAGTAAAGCCAACGATCACAGAGACCAAGGGTCTCCACCCTGGTGCCCTACGTGACATGGTGCCAGCTAGAGGATGTCGGCCGGGCAGAGCGGATGGCACAGCGTTGAGGAAAGAGGCTGATGGCATGTGTGGAATGCCCGAGGGTGACGAGGGAGATGAGAGAGGCAGGAGAGGTGAGAGGGTGTGGCCCTTTCCTTTCGTCTTGCTCTTAAGCCGCAGCAGATTTCAGCACTGGCTCTTAAGGTGTGGACCAGCACATTCAACATCCCAGGGAATTTTGCTAGACATGCACATTCTCGGACCCCACCCCAGACATCCTGGATCAGCAAGGAGCCATCAGAATACAGCTGTGTGGGTTTAACAAGCCCTTGGGAGATCTCGATGCAGCCCAAGGCTGGGCAGGCTGGAGGGCACCTGCATGCCAGGAGAGCGGCCAGAGGGGAGGGCAGGTGCCCAGAGGGAGTGTGTGGGCTGTGTGGGCTGGGGACTAGGAAGGGTGTTGTGTCTTAGACTAGTGGAAAGGGCAGGGCCTGCATTTCAGGACCCTTCTGTCTGGACAGGCTTTCCCTGAAGCGGGAGGGGGCAAGTGGGGGTGGGGGTGGGGGTGGGGGTAGGGGAGGGGGCGTGGCGAAGCTTCCCTGAACTGACAGGGAATGAGCTAGGAGACCTTCTGAGGCACCTTTTGCAGACCATGGGTAGGCAGGAAGTAGCAATTGTGCAGCTGCAGGCACAGTGGGGTTGTTTCAGCACTGGGCAGCCCAGGGGACACTTGTCCACGCCCTGAGGCCTTTCCACAGTCCTCACTTCACTGGGCTCCAAAGAGATTCTGTGGAACCTAGTGAAACAGCTGATACTCAATACGTTTCTCATGTTTAAAAAAGCAGTCATTTCTTACAGATTTACTCAATACTTTCTGTCTGTGCTTATTATACCTTTTATTCTGTAATTATTTATTTCCAGATCTGTCTAGCCTATGCAGACCTGCGGGCACTATAAGGCACTACTGTGTCACCTTCATCTTTTTATCACTTTGCCTCGCTCTGTTCCTGAATGGTCACCATCCTGGAATGTCCAGGCGCACATGTGCCACTGGACAACGGGATGTTGGGGCACACACATGCTGCTGGGTGCTGGAATGGTGCACACATGCTCTGCTGGACACTGGGATGCTGGTGCCTGTGCACATGTTATTGGCATGAGCTGTAGTTTGAACCTCAGCCATTTGATGCTTGAATTCCCAAACCATTCATGGAAATGGGTACTTCTTCCTGCTGGGATTTTCTCTCTCTCTCTCTCTCTTTTAACTGATTGTGGGGAAGGGTCTGGTCACATTGTCCAGGCTCAAACTTCTGGGCCCAAATGATCCTTCCACCTCTGCCTCTGCCTCTGCCTCTGCCTCAATCTCTGGAGTAGCTGGCAATATGGGCCTGAAATACTGTTTCTTTAAGGAAGGGCATGTTACCTATTATTCCAAACCACCGGTGTTGGGCAAGGAGAGGTCAGAGTTTCTTGCACATGGCCTTGTAGTGGCGGCCATGGCCCTGCATAGAATCTGCAGGTGGCAGCCAGGACGCTACGGGTGTCGAGTGCACATTGTGGCCTGGTGCCAACCATGGCGAGGGCGGGGAGCCCCGTGCCTGCCGCGCGCACTTCCCTCACCCGGTCCTGCGTCCTTGGGCAGGCGATGCTCCTGCCTGGAGGGGCCGGTCCACCTTCGGTCAGCCACGGACCCACGCATGGAGTCAGCGACCCAGGGACCCACTTACCTGGGCGCGGCGCGGGTGGCATGCGGCCACACGGAGGGGGCGCGCTAGGCTGCTGCGGCCTCTGCAGCTTCTGCACCTGCCACGGGGCGGCCAGAGGTAAAGGGAGGCGCGGTCAGGTGCTGCCCGGCGAGGCAGCTGCGCTTGCTTGGTTGTCCACGCGCGTCCGCGCGGCTGCTCCATAACTGGAAGGCATGGGGACGGGGAATGGGGCGAGAGCGCGGGGGCGCGGGGACTTGCGCGGCATGCGCGGGGCTCCCAGGGGACCTCGGCTGTGACACGCGGAGCCCCCAGATGACCTCGGCGGTGGCAGAAATTTCTAGGTGACCTGTGTGACTGACACGCGGGGCTCCCAGGTGACCTCCGCGGTGACACGCGTGGCTCCCAGGTGACCTGCGGTGGTTGCTCTCCGGGGCGGGCGCGCGCCGCTTCCGCTTCCGCCGAGCCGCCCCCCGCCCCCCGCGGCGCAGCGCGCGCCCCCCTCCCGGTGGCTCGAACCAATCCCGGGAAGGGAGGCGACGGCTCGAGGCCGGGAAGCGCCACCGCGACCCCTCCCCGCCTCCGCTGCGCCCCCTCCCAAATCCGCGAGGAGGATCGTTTGTGCTGCGTTGGAGGATGAGGTTTTGGCTGCGGACTGAAGAGATGGCCCTGGAAGAAATGGTGCAGAGACTAAACGCGGTTTCGAGGCACACGGGTAGGAGGGGCTGCGGCCTCAGTGATGAGCTTCAGCTTGACAGCAGGGGCTGCATTGTAGGGAAACGCGTCTGGTGTTCTAAGCCACCCTCGTGTTCCCTGTAGCAGCCAGCTGTGGTATGGGGGCACTGGTGGGTAGCCGGTGTGCTTCCAGGGGCTGTCGGCGATTGCATGCTGCCCGGGAGGGTTAAAATGACTGCGCACCGGTGACTCGGGCTCTCTCGGGGACGCTGGGTCTGCATGCGGAGCCATTTGTGTGTCTGAAATCTGCCCATGCACCTGCCTGTACTCAGCGCTGGCCATGGACATGGAGAACGCACAAGTGCTTGCGAACTGAGAACCATCTGAGCCAAGGGCTTTCACAGCTTGGGGTCTCAGAGCCAGAGGCAGGGATGGTGAAGCCGCTGGAAGCTCATTTTGAGGAAGAAAAAATCTGGACGAATCGAGTGGTTCTTTTCTTCATTAAATGCAATTTAAACCTCAGACAAATGTTTCAGACGGTGTGGGTAAAGAGTGGACTCTGGCGTCACTGGACGTTCATTTTCAGTATTAATCAAAATATTACTTCAAATAAGCTTTGAAGAGCAGTTCAGATAGATTCTTTAAGACGTAAGCAGAGACTGGGCTGACAGCTTGCCTCTGGCCATGGCTTTCAGGCAGTGACATCTGAGTTCTCACCCTCCGTTATGCAGAAGGAAGAGGCATCCTTAATAGTTTTCCTTAAAATGAAGAGGGAATAATGCTATATCCTTAAATCAGCCAGCAAATGTTTTGTCTGACGTTGCCATATGTTATGTTCTATATGCCATTACTAGTTGTCTAACTAGGTCTTGCCTGGAAGATTAAAATGTCAGTTACTTGGTTTGGGTGTGGTTCTATCTCTTTCTCTACCCACCCTGATGGATTTTGAAAGCAAACCAATGAATAAATCAGCATAAGTACCATTGTATGGGATGGTCTAATCAAGCTGTTTTTAATGTGAGTTTTTGGGAACAAAGCTGCTGGATTTATTGTATCTGGGTCGAAAGAAAACAAAACCATTTCCATGACGTCTGCTCCCCGATTTTTTCAG